AGCTTTCTTGAACAGATAATTCAAAAAAATTACGTTGTATGTACTAAAAAAGACGTTTGATTCGTGTTCATGCAGTATGGAGGGTGGTTCAGGCGAACGATTTCAAAATTATTTATTTATTTATAATTATTAATTTGTAATTGTTGGTTGAAGTGTTAGAAAACACAGATTTTCACTTAATTAGCTTTTTGATATTTTGAATCAGTTTTTCACAATTCACAACTTCTACAAAAAACTTTGTCAAGAATAATTAGATGCTAAATAAATCAAGCAAAGTGTTTGTTGTTTAGTTGCATCGAGGCCTTCGGGCACGATACTGTTTTAAGTGTAAAAAACGCTGTTTTCCTCTTGTTTTGCTATTTATTAGTAATTAGTAGTTAGTAAAGTAGTTTACATAAGAGCTTACATAAGAAAACATCAGTAACTCCCAAACAACAACACGTTTGAGGGTGGAATTTTCCCAGCAAAGTTTATTAAGCCTTCAAACTTGGGCTGACAAAAAAGTTGGAACATGCCGCTCATAAAGAAACATCTGTAACTCCCAAGTTGGGACAACTTGAAACTTGAAAGTTTCACTGTGAGGTCTCACCTGGCATAGTTCCACTTTACCAAATTATCACTCGAATTAGGAGAGCGGTTTATTTTTCAGAACACTTCAAACTACCTCATTTGTAAAAGACGCTGAATCGTGCGCTTAAATACCGAAACCTCTGCAACTCTTAATCTGGGAAAAGTTTCGACACGAAATGTTCAAACTAAAAAGCCACAGATACAATTGTATCTCAATCGCAATCGAGCTGAAACTTCGAAAAACCCTCAAACTTGAACTTGAAAAAAACACTAAGATGCCGCAAAAAGGAAATATATATAGCTCCTAAACCAGGATAAGTTTCCACATTAAATTTTCACAGCAAAATTCCAGCACATGTAGCATTACCCTGCCCGAAGATAACTTTAATGGCAGCACTGGCAGCAGACCTTGAGTTTTTCAAAACCCCCAAACTTGAAATTGAAAAAAAACTACCAAAGAAACTCCCAAAGTTGGACAGTTTTGGAATTCACTTTTTTAGAGCCAGCACTCAAGATCTGGAGCTTCACTTCAGGTTTGATCCAAGCAAAAATTGATTTAAAAAAAAAACTTTAACTCAGTCAAACGCGCTGCTAAGTCCTAAATTAACATATTGAGATTCGAGTAGTTAAGGCAGTGAATTTGCTTGCAAAATCCATCAAAGAATTTACTTTTTGCTGATTTCAAATAGTTTGCTTGCCAGAAGAAGCAATGGAAACCTTCAGTATCAAAAAGGTTTTTTGGAAAATGGGCATCTAAGAGCTCCCTACCTGTCACATGTTCTCTAGGTGAAAGAAACATCTCTAAATGCTCTAAATTTTGACGAAAATTGCAAAAATTCGACACCAACAGGCCTCAAATTTCAACGCTCATTCTATTAAAATTCGTAAGAATTTTTGTCCCCACATATGGACACTTTCCTGGAGATTTTTATTGAAAACACTCACAATGTGCATAAAATTTCAATTGAAAAATTCTCCTGTCCTCCGTCGTTCCAATCTTTGCCGAAATTGGTGAGGTGCAGAGGCGGCTCAGCCCAGGATTATTTTCATCGATACGACCAGCTAAATGCAATTCGACGTGAATTCGATTGAGATTGATCATGGAAGTAGTTAAAGCAGTGAAGTTAAATTGCGATTTCGGTTATCAAAAGCTCACTTACTTTCTCCTTTCCATTGCTACTCATACCGATATCGACCGATGGCGGTTCGATCCAGACGGGTATCCAAAACTGTGCACACCAACCAGGACACTTTGGACCCAACAGGAAAATCGGAACGCGAATCGTATGGCAAGCTCACGGGACTGACTGGGCCTCTCGGTAGTTCCGTGCTCGTAATTATTCCCGCTTTATTGTTAAATAACCACCTAATGACGGCTCTTCATTGTTAAATGCATTGTTTGGATGATTTTACTTGTTGCGAATGCGAACGGCTCAGTTTTCAACCGGATCGACTTTGATAAGATTGGTTTAGAGCAGCTTGGCTGCATATTAACACCCCATCCTGAAGTGTTAATCCGTATAAATTCGAGAAAATCCGGCACCAATAAAATCGGCGTAAAAAGACAAATTCGACGATTTCAATTTTCCACTGCCTGCCTGAATCCATAAAATGCTCATCTATTTATTTGAATGGTCTCGGGCCGTTCGTAGGGCAGAATCTTTCAAACTAGCTCAACTTTTCCAAGGGAAAAGGGAAAGCTGATGGAAGCCTAAAATAGAATCGAATCTGAGTTTGAGCAAATTAATGTTTAAAGGCAGTAACTGAAGTAATTTCACCATTACAGTTGAATTAAAGTGAGGTGTTAGATATTTGAGGAGCCTAAAACCAGCGCCCAGTTCTCTAATGCCCCATCAATTTGCCAATATAAAGCAGCCTTCACTGCTCAGATGCAGATTAAGTCGGACCCGGTTGAATTATCTTTAACTGAATAAACCATAAGTCCGGCTAATAATGTTCGAGTTGAGGAGAAACTGCTGGAAATGTCGCAGAAAAACCACTGAAACAACATTCGTTCAAGATCAATGCCAGATTGCTATCATCTAAACTCTTCCTGAAGAGACATGCTCCATAACGTTACGTGTTGAGGAAGTGGGCCATTAAACAAAGTACATTTCGCGACAGTAATTCGAATTTGGTATGAGACATCTTGGGAATTACAGAAATTACCAGCTGGGTAGGTGGTTGAGTTTCCGGAGGATGAATTAAGGTCGGCTCGCAGTGCACACAGGACCAGAATTAAACATGTCTTTGTTCATTTAATTTGGCGAGAACTGGACCGATCCGATTTTATTGACGTCAGACACTATCATCGTAATAACGATAAAATTCAAGAATTTACTCCCAACAAGTGGCATTATTCACTTAAAGGAGTTTCATGATTTTGAAAAATTGCTATAGGAAATCTTCATTTATTATAAAATTTTTATTGAAGAAACGAAGTTTTATGAAACCGGTAGGCCAATGACGAATAACTCTTTTTGAATAACTAATTTGAAAGTTGACTTTATACCTAATACAACTGAAATTGTTTGTGACCGAGAAAAATCAAACAGCAAAACTTCCTCATGCTCGCTGTTACAAACTCATTAACTTAAAATTTCAACAGTCCCTTTCTAGGAGATATGATATTGTGCAACTTCAGACACCTGAAAGGGGGCGAAGCCCCAGTCCGATCTTCACTTTTTTACACAAAAATAAAATTCCAGTCTTCTGAAAAACACTGCTTCCATCACACTGAAAAGCATTTTTGATTTTCATCCCTGAATAAATATCGCACCCGCGAGTAACAGTTAATTTTACTTTGGGGCCCCTCACTAATTGAAGCTTACGGCTGCCTCTCTTTTGAGGTGTTGACCTCAAAGTACCATCTTTTGAGATCTCAAACATTTTTTGTTAAGTTGTAAAATGTCCCGCCGTTGAGTCCGTGACGCACTTTACGCGTCCGGTCGCCCCCTCGCGACGTCATAAGCCTACAATAAATGGACGGTCATCAAGCCGCATTTATTCCATTGGGGAATAATGTGATTCATTTAATACTTAAACTAATATATGTTAGTGGAGCGTTCATAATGAACCTCGTGACCGAAATTGGGGCCTCATAAGCACATTCTGAAGTACTTAGTATTAAATAATGCTTCAGCTTCATATTCTTCTTATGGTCTTTACGGCTTATGAAAAAATCAAGGATTTGCAGTGCAAGGACCACTTGAGCATAGAAATCGCCCCATACAATCGCATAAAGAAAAGAGCATTAAAAAATCTGCAAAAGAGATAGTTTACAAGAGAAATGCACTATTCAATAAATCAATATCAAATTGACGCAGCCATGAAGATACAAACGACCCACAGAGTTTATTAGCTTTACAGTAGACGGTTTACTCGCCCATGTAACTAACCAGTAGATGGAAGCTAAATAAAGATTGCAAAAAATCTCAACATGAAATGTTCAGAGTTCCATCAATGTACAAATCATGGATCAAACATAGCCATTTCATAAAAATGGGTGTGGAAGTGAATTTGAAAAAAAACTACAAACTTTTAACATAATTCTTGCTTCTAAAGACCTTTACAATCCTTGAACTTGTGCCATTGAGAGGAGTATAACTCATTCAAGGAACAAAATGTCAGCGCACAGACTTAGGAAACTGAGTTAATTTTGAACTCAAACTGGAGAGTTGAGAGAAATTTTAAAAAGTGATTGTGCTCTTTATTTGAATTTCAATGCAAATGCCCCCCAGAGATAATTCAGATTTCTTTAATATAAATCCTTTCCAGTCATCTTAGTGAGGCCTAAAAAGATAGTGTTTATTTAGATGCATTTCTACTTCAGTCTTAGATGAGAGTTGTTGGGTGAAGACATGGTCTGAGTGTATTATCAGAAGACAACTGCTGAATCCATTAGCGTGAACACGCTAAAAATTGATTACTTCTAGAAGAGAATCAATTCTGTAGCAATCATCTTTCTATCGAAATCAATGTAGAATCCCATATAAAAACCCTGTCTTAGAGAGTACACATTGAACTCACAACTTTATTCACCCAGAATTGGAACAACCAATTGATTTCATGTGGCTTATTGTGGTCGATTCCTGCTCGCTAATTGTTGTTATATAACTGAAACGTCCAATGCTAAAAGTTGTATGAATATGACGCATAAATTCCACGAGCATCTACTGAATTAAAGTGTCAACAGTGAACATTTTGTGATTGAAAATCGCAATGTTTGCAATCGCAATGTTTGCAATCGCTGGAGCTGATAAACAGCCACCAAAAAGGCGTGGCCTTGTTCAACCTTCCGGTACTTATCTTATCAATTAATTTTCAAATTTTATCAATGAATAGCATACAACCCGGCAACTTGACACAGTTTTTTCAACGGACATGCATTCAAAAACCAGCAAAATACAAAAAAACTGAGTAGAACTTACCTCGTCATTCAGGTGCCCCTTTGAGGACATTTCTGGACAAAAGTTAAGAACACTCACTGACAATGGCAACTATTTGGTTGTAGCAAATTCGAGCACACAAAAACGTGTCAATTTGATAATTTACTGACTATGATTAGGAATGTTAATCATTTTTCTGGCATTCAAACAATTAAATCGGAAACTCTATAGAGTTGTCAAAATTGATTATAGTCTTGACGTAACATAACAAACTCACCGGCGTTGCCATGCCGAACCTAAAACCACATATTTGACTTAAATTGGAAATTTGAACACAAGAAAAAGTGCTGAAAACTATTCAATTCAAATGTATTGCCTCACACTCTTGCAATTTTGCTCCTCATTTCCACCTATAACAAGTCTCAGCCCTGTTAATAGCATAATACTGGAGATACAAGAGAAATGGCTAAAGTTCACCAGCAAAGCCGGCAACATCACATTACCCTTAATCACAATGCGATATTAACCTCAAATATTTGATAGCTTTGTTTACCTTTGATCTGGTATCAATAGTTTTCACTTTAATCAAATATTATGGTCAATAACCAAGATTCCTCACCCGCAATCCACAATGTTTATCCTCCGCTATATAACAGCCAAAGTGTGGCTGTTTGTAATGTTCTTGAATCTGGGGCTTCGCCATGTCTACATCCAGAAAAGTCGCAGTGGTAAGTGAATTTCAATTTCCCCGATAAATATGTAATAACACCCGTATTCCAGGTTACTGGCAGCAACAAAGGCATTGGCCTTGCCATAGTTAAAAGCCTGCTGGAGAAATTCGACGGCGATGTCTTTCTAACCGCTAGAAATTCCGCTAAAGGAAAAACTGCAGTTGAGAAGCTCAAGGCTTTGGGGTTTAAGCCCCAGTTTCATCAGCTGGATGTCGTTGACCAAAACAGTGTAGACACTTTCCGGGACTACATTAAGCACACATATGGGGGGCTGGATATTCTAGTCAACAATGCTGGCGTATATGCCGATGTAAGTGCTCATCACTGGTTACGGCCTAAAAGAAGCGAACTAAACGCTTGAAATATTTGAAGAAATCACTCCCATTGGGGGATCAAGCTGAACAAAACGTGGGAGTCAACTATTTCGGCACGCTAAAAGTAAGCGAGGCTCTTTTACCCCTCCTCAGAGCGAATGCCAGAGTTGTAAACTTATCGAGTTCAGCAGGTCGCTTGAAACGAATTCCCTCCACTGATCTTCAGGCCGAATTCAAGGACCCAAACTTGACCATTGAAAAACTGAACAATATGATGAAACAATACATAAAGTATGTGCATTATGTGGCATGTTTTAATCCATTGAAATATCAGTAAATTTTCACATTAATCAAGTATGTTCTTGCATTGCTTAGGGCGGCAAAGGAAAACAATCACATGGCTGAGGGCTGGGGAGACAACGCTTACGTGGTATCCAAAGTGGGACTCAGTGCTTTGACTCTCATTCAGCAGCGGCTGTTCGATCGAGAGAGCCCGAAACGCAATATTTCCGCCAATTTCGTCCACCCAGGAGCAGTCATTACCGACATGAACCAAAATGGGGTTTTACAAGTAGATGATGGGGCAAAATCCGCACTGTTTGCTGTATTTCAGCCGAATTTGAAGGGAAAATATGTCTGGTACGATTGCCGAATTATTGACTGGGATGGACCTTTGCCTCAGTGATTGACTGTTGGCATTGATAGACTCATGTAAATAAATAGTTCAAGATGAGTTGAAGATGATTTGTTTGAAAAGCTGAATAAAATTGCCGTAGTGTTCGATTATAACATTTTTGACGCCAATACTGGGAATGGGGTATATGGGAGCTTTTGTTTTAACATTAAATAGAGTGACATTTCACGAAATTAATAACAAATTTGGGTCAAAATAAAATTTAATCTCCAGTTGACAACCCCAATTGCAATTAGCAGTAAACTGATAAAAGACGTTAGTAAACAACAAAACTGGCCTTAAACAAATTAAGTAACAGCCTGATTCTTACCTTGCATAGCTTAATTAATTAATTCTGGCTTTTTTCGTTGCGCGCTCATCAACAGAGGGTATTTCTGGAGATATCTTCCTTAGAATGGGATTCTTGCTATAAACACCGAAAAGAGTCGTTAATAGGGATACGCCATACCCAGTGGCTCGTTCTCCCTGCAATAAACGCGAATAATTGTTGCAATTACTACAGACCCTTAAAAGCAGAGAGATCAGTAGCTTACGCTATGAACAGGATAAGCCATATCGACATGAATCCAAGTGCCGGGATGATCAAACCCTAAATGTGCTTCAATAAAAATACCGGCGCAGCTGGCTTGAGCATTATGTCTGTCTGTTACCGAATTCTTCATATCGGCAAGTTCGGAATTAAACTCTCCTACATGGAATTCGGGACAGTAGGGTAGAGGAAATACCAGATCTCCCGACAGTAATCCTGATTTCATAAGAGCATCGTCCCAACTTCCGTTGTTGGTCAGATAGGCCGCGTGGTACTTTCCAGTAGCGATACCCTGAAAAAGAATCTTGCTAAGCACCGTACAAACACTGAGAACTGCAAATCCCACCTGGGCTCCAGTTAATGTGGCCATATCCAGAATGATGTTGGCTTTGAGATCTTTGCTGGCATAAAACACACCGTCAGACAACACTAGCCGGCCTTCCGCGTCCGTGTTGTTGATCTCTACGGTACGTCCAGAGTATAAGGTGAGAATGTCGTCTGGCCTGAAACAGAGCAATAATAGAGCTGGAGCACTAAGTCTTGTTTATTTAGTACCTGGTGGCATCCGGACCGATGCCGTTTTCTGCCAGGCAAAAAACTGCGTGCAAGTTTTCAGTAAATCCCGATTTAACGGCGGCATAAAATGCGCCTAGAATTCCTGCTGCGCCGCCACAGTCTCGCTTCATTCCAGGCATAGCTAACTAAAACAATTAGTTTAGAAATCGAATCTAGACATGGATCACTTATACAAAAAAGAAATAATTTAACGGAAATTAATCAGTCTTTTCTAGAGAATTTCCAAGAATATGGAACAATTAGGGTGAACCTACACACTTGCAACCAAGACGGGGTGGAAGATTGCGGGTCCGATTTTTCAATTCCTTTAAAAACTCATTTAAAAATTATTTTTCAGTTAGTGGTAATCTACCACCGCGTTTTGGTTGCATTACCTGGTATAAAAACAACGGTTATCAATTAATAATAACAAAGAACGTGAGAAAAATAGGGTATTTTCGCAGCTCGATAGCTCTAACTGTGGAGGCGAGATACTGAAATAAAATGGTTTTTTTATTGATAATTCTTACCTTGCCCTTAAGACTGAGACCACCAGTGTCATATACAATGCCTTTTCCCACCCATGCCACAGTTTGAGTGGCCCCTGTAGGAGTGTAGCTTAAAACAGCCAAAGCCGGAGGCACTTTTGCCGCTTTTCCTACTCCGTAGATGCCACCGAAGCCTTTTGCGGCCAATTCCTTGTCGCGGATAACAGTTGGAGTGATGTCTAGTTCTGCCCCGATCTTTGTGACCTCCTAAAAATCTCAACGATTGGAAGAATTATCGCTAAATCAACAGAAAATTGCTTTACCGTTAAAAAGCTATCCACGTTCATTTCACTGCAGGGGGTATCAACAATCCGGGCAGCGAGTCTGACGCCTGTAGCAGCATTTGTAATGCAGCTGATTTCGTCTGTAGTTAGTTCCACGTAGGGATTAGCAGATCCCGAGTCATTCCCCCTTACAAGAAACTCTACGGAAATCGTAGCTGCGGTTTTATTGGCTTCCGACTTTTTTGAATAAAGCGGAAGAGCTCTTGCGACCGCACAAGCGCTTGCATAGACATCAGAATGTTCGCAAACAATCTGAAAATAGGAAATTTGTTTTGAAAGAACTTTCAACGCCGCTCGACCAATACCACAATATGCTCGTCAGTATCTCCATAAACCGAACTCTGAATAATCTTCGTGATAGAATGGGCTCTGGATGGAGTGTTGTGCCGACTGCAAATGACTGGCAGGGCAGCAACAGAGGCCAGATTCACGAAAAGAGACTTGGTATCAGTTGGGGATGGATTTAAACTGGTGACTGCCAAACCATACGCCTGCTCAGTGACTCTAGAATCCAGTTTCACCTTTATGTCCTTAAACCGAAGCTGAGTCAAGTGCTTCAGCTGGCCAATGATGAGAACTGGGATGCATAGATGACCTGAGCTAGTCAGGCCTGACCTGAACACCAGATTGGCCATTTTGTGGACCTGCAAGTTCTGCAACTGTAGCAATCACTGTTTGTTTCGAATGATCACTTTTAGGACATAAACCTGTTTAATCAGTATGTTATTGTATTCTAACGACATTTTATCAGCTTTACTAACTATCATTACAATAAATATCAAATACTTTCTCTGATAATGGTTGATTAGATATAGCGAGTAAACAAATCTTAAAATACTAAAAATGAAAAACGAACGTTTATAATATACCTATCAATAGGGAATTGAAGTGTTAAATGGAACACTCACCTACAGACCTTGTATCCTCTAACAGGGAGTGAGAAAAGGAGATTCCTCTCTCGTTTGAGGAGTAATAAAGCTCGTAACATAAATACAAAGCAACTTGAATATTTAACTCAGCTGACGCTTAAGTCACATAACCTCAATTCCCTTCCTCCTCTGTTCCTCCACAGGTTTCCTCTTCATTTAATTTGTTTGGAATCTGTATTGAGCCTGTAAAAAACTTGTGGGCGCGACTAGAACATCCCTCGTTTCTAAAAGAAATCTACTTGAATTGAATGTTTAGCGGGAGATTTGAATTTACTTTAATATCTTCACAATTTCAGTTGTTACAACAATGTTTCGGGAGTCCTAATCTCTTAATGATGCGAGCAGAAAAAAGCAGTCTCAAATCATGACCAGGTTTGAACGTGGATCTGCTCTTTAAGCATAGATAAAATAGAATCATTATTTTAGTTACTCTGTCTTTAAGCCGCTCTTGCACAGCATATCAAGCTGCACAATCACAAAGTCGCATAAAAATTGGGCAAATCGGCTAATAATGATGTGAGCAGATAAAAGCATTCGGGCCGCAGAATTCATAGAACATCCCACTAAAAAAAACACACTTCAATAGCAACATAGAAAAAGTGATTGATGATTGGGATTTTTAACTGGCTTTGAATTTACTGCATCTATAGAAACATGCACTGTACAAACCAGTTAAAAACTCTAAACGGATAAATACAATGAACTCCACTAAATACCGATACATAAAATCAGTAACAAAAAATTTATTCAGTCTTGTAATTATCATACAAAACGGACAAATATAAAACAAACGGATAACAAACATTCAATCAATAACAACAATAAAATCTGCGTTAAAAAGCCCGAAAACAAAAGGGAATGTAAAATAGTACCTACCCAAGAGCAAACTGAAAAACATTTGCACAATTGATAAAAACTTTGTTAACACTACACACTAATACATACTGTCCTTGGCAAGAACATCGTTCATTATAATACTAAAACAGTCATTAAAACTACAATTTACTTTTGATGTGCACAAAAATATCAAAGCTTTTAATAACTTGGAACGAGGGAAGGTACGTTTCTGCAACAGAAAAACGGGAATTAGTAGAGTAAAGGCGCAATTCACTGAATAGAATTACCTAGATCACTTTTGAGGCCCCCAATCGATTCTCTGTTGATTGATAACATGACTCGTCCCTCTCTGGAAACCGCAATGAAAATTAAAATAAATAAAACAAAATCAAGCAAATGCATTTTACTCACCGTCTGCGTTTTACTGCAGCCCCCATTCGCACCAAAGTACTAAGGCAATTGCCTAAAGTATCCAAAGACATTGCGTAGGGATGGATGAATATTTTCCTTTCACTAATTGCCTCTTCCAGTAATTTTTGCGCGCTTGCTAGTACTAGTTTTTCCTCCACAACCTCGGGCAGTGTCTAAAGCATATTAAAACCGTGAGGATTTTCTTGGACAGAACCAAATAACCCAACTACCTGTAAAATCTCAGCAACCACATAATACGACAAAATAAACGGTTGAATACTGCTGATCAGCACCTCTTCGAAGTAGTTATTTTCGAAAATCTCATATTGCTCGTTCCTGCGAGCAATTATTTTCTGGCTACTCAGTCTATGTAGGGCTTCTTCGAAATACTAAATAAAACAACATTAAATCCACATTTTCTTGAGAAAATCAGCAAATAGAGCTTAAAGTACTTTAGAAGTAAACTAGAAGCAACTGACCCACCTACCGTTTTATACCAAGTTTCCAACAGGACAAATTCAAAGGAAAATATGGCTCGAAGATTGCGGAAGTGTTTGAATAAGTCATCTGGGAATAAATCATTAATTAGAAGCCAGTAGCCAATTCATTCTAATCAACATTTGAAACTTCCGGAACAAGTAAAAAGCTTTTATCAAATCTGTGAAAATGGGTTTACCTAAAAGTTTACGAGTAAATTTACAAGAAACAAGTGACAATTAAAAGCGGTTTCGCATCTTTAGTCCTCATCATAAAGTCTGCTACTTGTTCAAAACAGCTTTTATATTCTCTAAATGCTAATCTTCCATGCGGTCTGCAATTACTTATCTAGTCAAACCCTAGTCAATTAACTGTTTTAGACGAATGATTTATTTGGACTTTCGTTGCCTTATTGAATTTTTTTTCTTGGGTGTGTACAGGGGCGGATCCAGCATTCGAGTCAGGGGGGGGGTCAAGTAGTAGAAATTTTGTTGTCTATGAAATTAGAAAAATTATCGTTAGTTGTTATAGTCAGCACAAGGGAGGGTCATGACCCCCCCCCCTGGATCCGTCCTTGGGTGTGTAAAGAAAATACAGATACGAATCCTAAAACTACGCTACCATGAAAAAGGAGGATTATCAGTGAAAGTCCAAACATATTATTTAAAGTTCAGTAGACCACTCAAACATACAGCAGCTGAAAATACCGCGCTTCTACGAGCTCTCAAACTTTTGTAGATGAACACCCACATCTTACCTTCATTAAGCCTGCCAGTGCTTCTCAAGGCGACAACAATCAAAGCTCCATCAATGAAATAATGCAAAACCGGATTGGCGTAGATTTGCAGCATCATAAAAGGAACTGAATAACTGATAGTTGCCTCGCTCAGGCTGTGGCCTTTTAATTTGCGAGCATCTACCGCCCCCATGGAAATCTGATTGGTGACCAACCCGATCTTCCCGTTTTCTCCTACTGTGATCAAATTCTGATGCACCTTCAGGCTGTCTTTTATTGCACTGTGAATGTCCTGTTCGAAGATGGTGGCTCCCCAACACCTGAAAGTACCTCTGAGGATGCGTATTTCCTGAGCCAATTCTTCCATCCCGGTGAACTCCTGTCCTCTAGTAATATTGTTGTTTAAGATCAGCGCTATTAAGTTGAAGTAGCTGACCACGCTGGATATTTGCTGACGCCGCACGATTTCATAAGCCAAATGCGGAATGAGCCGCTTTTCTTCTTCATTAATCTCGTGCAAGTGTATGGGCCCTAGGCTGTGCTTGGATCTATCGAATTTATCTTCAAAGAACTCCCTGGTGGAAATCGGGTCGCCGAAGTGGAAGTAAATGCTTCCGAAACTTTCCTTCACCAACTTCCACGACCTGAAGAAACCCTAAAATAATTCTGTTTTAGGTGATTCACAGGGTTTTAGTTAGGTACATACAGAGGTGCTTTCTCGTGGCTTAGGAATGCCCAATAGTTCGAAAGAAAACAGGTTCTCTTCTATTAACCGGTCATAGTTGACGCTAACAGGCACAAAAAGAATGTCCGGGACTTGGGACAGGAAGTACGACTTAAGGATCATGTTGATTAGCCCTAGAATAAAAAAGTGAGGAGAAAATGTGAAAATGGTCACTAATCTAGGTTTGGATTCAAAAAGTTCCTTCATATTCATTGAGTCGCTCTGCTGTTCCTAAAAATTAGTGGGTATATTTGTCGAACACCCTGTAGTGCTGGTGCCGCTAATCTCTATGTATTATTGGCATTAATTAAGAGCCATTTCGGATGAAAAATCTCTCAACAGACAACAGACTCATTTTTTCCCACTTTTTAAGGACGCTAATGTAGGTACGCATAGTAAAAAAACTCGAACAGAAAACGTATATTTTTACTACATGTAAATAAATATAGCCAAGTCGCCTACTTGGCACACTTGTCTATAATAGCTGCAATGACTTCGATCTCCACACTGGCGCCCATGGGCAATTTGCCCACTTGAAAAGTGGATCTTGCCGGAAAGTCCTTGCAGAAAAACTCCTTGTACACTTCGTTGACGCCCGAAAAGTCGTTGATATCATCTAACATTATGGTGCTCTTGATTATGTTCTCATAGGAGGTTCCTGCCTCCTCCAAAATGTGTCCAATTGTAGTCAAAGCCTGTCTAGCTTGAGGGCAGACGCCTCCAGGCACCAGTTTCATATTTTCGTCCACTCCCAGGACCCCCGATAAGAACACGATGTTATTGAAAGACACCGCTTGGTTGTACGGGGAGCCTGCCGCTGGTTTAGGGGCCTTGGCCGCCATTATCACTTTCCGCACCAAAGACCCGGCCATTTTCACTCCTTAAACTAGCACAAACCCAACTGAGAAGATTGTTCGATTAAACGAGCGAAGTTCAATGCGATATCAGCCCAACGTGAACGTTTGACCCCGATGCAATCGGAAGTCTGCCCCGAATTATAATTTCAATGTCATAAAATCATGCAAAATTGCAGGTACAAATTGTCACCTGGCTAAACTAGAAAATATTAATCGGAGTGCTCTTACCATATTTGGGCACCATGCTCTTATTACTGCGGCTTCTGGTGCCTTCTATGAAAAATTCGACGGGCAAATCGCCCTTGCAGACCAACTGGTGGACGTATTCTTTAAAGGCTGCCCAATACAAGCTATCGTCACCGTAAGATCGACGCATGAAGAAAGCCCCGGTATTGCGAAGCATCTCACCAACCCCCATCATACCTTGGAAGTCTACAAAAGTTATCAAATGAAAACCGGGAAAGTTGTCAAAGTTTTCCACAATCTCCAACATAAGGAGAATACAGATAGATTCAAAAACGACTTAAAACCCAAAAAATTGTTCTTGATTGCGACCATAGCTTTAGATGCAATTTCATTAAATTTGTATAGTCGCCTTAGAAAATTTGCACCGATTTTTGAATCACCCTATACTTACAAAGATTTATCGTTTTCCGCTTAAAATTCCAAAGGTAAAATTGACCGAAATAGTGAAAATTGATGCGTAATCATTGGAAAATAAACTTCTTGGTCGATTATCAAGCTTGCGAAAAATCTATTTCAAAAAGGCAACTTTTGTCCCGGAAATGTGAGATTTTTCTGAAACGAAAAATGCTAAATAATTAAAATTTGGTTGAAAGTTAGTGAAGTTCTCGATTTAAAAATGTTGCAAGTTGTGTGTCTTACAATTCAAAGGGTCTTCAAAGTCAAATAATTAAATTTTTTAATTGAATACCAACTTTTTTCCAGCAGATGTGCAAATCAATTTGCGCATTTACGTTTCTCCGAAACATAAAGCGGTAAAGAATTAAAGCTTGGTGGTAATATAGCGACGTTATCGACCTAAAAAAGTTGTGTGTCTGGAAACTCAAAGGCCGATTAATTGGAATGTTTTAAATTGAGGTCTAGGTGAGGCGAAAATGCGAGAAAAATACCAGTGAAGCCAAGCTATAGATAAATTCACATAAAGATACAGCATATAATTTCAAATAAACAGTAGCGCTTTATCTAAAACATTTTTAATTTTGTTTCTTTGTTGTTTGCTCAGATGTTCAAACCCCATGAATTTGAAGCCGACATTGAAGACTCTAAGCGGAATTTTCAAGAAGTCACACAACATGAAACAAGCAAGTAATCGAACCAATTACTGCTCGTTTGAAGGAATTGTAAGCCCGTTTCGAACATTTCATTCACGCTTCTCACGGGAGTGAACATTCATTAAGTTTGAATTCGTTTCCTTTTTTTCTGAAATAAGTTCCCAATCTATTCTGATCGTATAAATGAATCAATTAAATGAAAATTCATGACTCCTTTTTAGCTGTTGATTATTGAATTTTGATGTATTTTCTTCTCTCTGAATAATCTCTCTCTGATTTAAGAAAGTTGGATCCGTAACTTTTTGTCCATTTATTTACTTTTAGTTGATCTGTCCCTGCCGCCATAAATCCCATATTTTAGCCCTGATATGATCGGAATAAGTTTTCCTAAACATTGAAACTTGAAAAGTTTTCTAAAAATTGACTCCTTATTTTGGCCACACTTTATCAAAGAACATTTTTCAAGTAAACCCTCATTTACTCATAAAGGCTCTGAACTGAATTTAGTTCAGTTGATTTTGACGAAGATTCATGCATAAAGTCGTTAGGCTATTACCCATTCCGGCTGCAATTGCAGGAATTTCTATGCCATAATGAAAGAAAACGTAAGAAAAAATGACGAAATCCGCGTAGCTTCTGTGGGACGGGACAAATATCACCGGACAGTTTCCCATGGTGGATTTGATCTGAAACAACCAGAGACAACCATTGGTGATGAAATTGAATACCTTAATTGAAGAAAGCTCAATCCAAATACATAGGTACTACGAAAATGAACTTGTAATAGTAATACAATGACCTCCATTATTACAATTTTAAGATAAAAACGCCAATCTTATGAGGAAAATTTCTTATCTCAAACTGGACTTGAACCCGCATATTAAAGGGCAAAGTTATTAGGATTTGTTATTCTCAAATACCTACAAATAACTTGACTAGCATGATAGAAAAACTTACCTTGAGCAGGCCCTGATAATTCACATAAACCCCTGAACATACTTTCAACAGGAGTTTACTTAAAATATATGACAAGTATCGAATCACCTTCAGGCTTTTAGTATACCCAACTTCGTCAAGAATTAGCATCAACTGTCTCTCAATCGCCTTCCTGTCCATGTTACTTTTAGCACCTATCTAGAAAGTAAAAGTCCATGATTACATATAAATCCATGATCCATATAAAGGATTTTGAGGGAATTAGTCGCCTTACCTGCTCAATAATTTCGGAGATTTTTAAGGAGTTCAAAACAGCTAGTTTATGATCGTCAGGATTAGGCCTCGGTCGCATCTTCACCGCAACCTGGGTGTTTAGTGCCCTAGTAGACCAAAGCCAGATGTTAAAGTCATTTCTTCGGGGCTCCAGCAAGTCTTCATAACTTCTATTAGCCATTCTTAGCAGAAAGCTGGTATATCAATCGACTCTAATCAATTGCCAAGTGGTTACTGTGGGATTCGGTGCCAATTGATAAAGATTCAGGAGGTAAACATTAGAATTCACGTAGAACATTAATTAAGTATATGATACTGGAAATCAAAGCCTGAGGCATATTTTTATTCATTAGCTTGAAAATGATTTGGAACTGTTCTAGTTTCAACTAACAACTGTAGCTATTTTGATAATAGTAATTAATAATTGCTTTTTCATAACGCTGAGGTTAGATTTATAACTGATTGAGGTTAGGAAAATCTCATAATTGGTGATGGGCGGGTCGGAACTGACCCGACTCCGGGATCCGGATCTTTGAAAAGACCCGACGGATGCGGATCTTGAAATTGTCCAAATACGGGTCTCGGATCTTAACAGATCTTTTATATGTCTAGAAATAAAGCAGCGTGTATCTGTAGTTCAAATTAGTTAACATATTATTTCAAAACTTAAGTGAATTGAATTTAATAAAATGAAAAATATCTATGCCACCTACTTTACATTTATTTTTGAAAGCGTATATGCCATAGGTAAAGACGAGTACATGCGGGTCATGAGTCATGAATATTGGCAAACCCGATTGTCGAATCAGTCGAGACCGAGTGGATCCGAGTGGATCCGAGCCGAGATTCGGACCCGAAGCCCGAACTATTGTTCGACGATGAATTCATTGTGATACAATCAATTCATTGTATGAACAGTACATTCATTCATTCTGATACAATTAATTAATTATTTCGTTTGGCTCAACCCTTTGAATATAAAACTAACTTTATATTCAAAGGCTCACCCAGATAGCATTTGATATTCTATGAATATCCCAGAATGTCCAAAAAATATACAGAACATTGCGGGAATATCCTGGGAATATACATAGGTGAACATTCTTAACATGAATGTTCGTGGAATATACATGCATGTATATTCATCAAAGTTCATAAAACGTATATCCTAGGTATGTACATATATGTACATATTGGCTATATGTGCAGATGAACATGCCAGGTATGTACATATTGTGTATATGTGCAGATGAATATACCTAGTATGTTGAAAACAAATATTTCGGTAATATACATGCATGTATATCTACGGTATATTCCAAATTGGTTGAATAGAAATTTTGCGTGCCCGCAGCAGAAAAGTAAGGGCATGTAAAAGTAAATCTTCTTACTACTAAAACCTGAGACCCTTATGAAATACTGAAAATATG